GGTTTTTGCAAAGACCAAGAGTTTAACGCAGAATGAGCATGAAAAATTTTCAACCCGGGTCGAAAAAATCTCAACCATGTCAACACTGGTCCAGAGCTGGGTTGAGTTGAGTTGAGTCAACCCCGAGATTTGTCTAGCGTGAAAAAAGCCTTAGGTGGAAGAAAACAAAAATTGCCAGAGAGTAGACATAGGCATTTTTCACATCCTGGCTTCATTTCTGTGTATCAGCTCGGCCTGCAAGCTTTCGTTCCCCTGAAGTTGAATTTGTTTCCTCAGGCTCAACTCAGAGGTCCATTCTCCCCGAAGGAAATGTGACATTGTCTCGTATAACATGAAGGCTAAATTTTAGTATTTTCTGTTGGTTTCTAATGATTCTTGGGTGGGAGGTCAATGATGCCACAGTCAAAGATAAAGCTGACATTTGAAGAATGGTACAGATCAGCGCTGTGAGGTGCAACCAACACAGTCATATCCGCACCTAAAAAATGATGCTATGCAACCAGATGTTTAATTCTTATCGCCAATGGCGACCATGATTTGTGCCTATTATTTGCCCACCTTGTCAGTCATATTTCACAAACAAGCGCTGCCCAGTTTTTTTCTACGTGCACTGGGCAATATATCACTATGATCACGCATTTTATGCCCTCTACCTTACTATGTACACCACGTGAGCCCACATTAACTGCAACACACATGTACATGTAGTTTACATGAAGGGACATACAGGCGCGCATAGGTACTAGACCTGTACCGGTACCCGAGTGGACTGGTTTGTGGTCGCACACTGTATAGAGTGTGTATGGGGATCTGAGATGTTTCGCATATTCATAATGCACTTGCAGTCCATGCATGCCACAATTCCAGTGAAATAAACTTGTTTCAGTCCAAAATGTACTTGAAGTTTGAAACCAAAGCTCCCCTTGGTCCGGTCCGGTCCCAGGTACAAAATACTCAAACGTAAGGGAACAAATATGCCTTATCTTTTCTTTCAGCTGTTTTTTGCATATACATGTAATTGGTTGCCATTTTTGACTCGGACCATAATCCCAAGCCTGTCTGTCCTGCAGGGAATTGACTGAATGATGTTCCTGTGTGTGTCAGATTTTGTACATGTAACGTGTGTATTTTGCAAATGTGTGTACAGTATGTACAAAAATCGACCTGTCGCCCAACTTTTTTTTCTAGGAGCCGGTGGCTCCTCATTTGAATTTTCTGCATACAGCACTGGTACAGTTACATGTAGGTACATTACCCATTATACCTCCCCGCTAATGCCTGCAATAAATTTATGGACATGGGGAAGGCTCAGTTAAACCGGTCATGTAATTGGATAAATAACTTGAGTATCTATACTAAACTGTACTTTGGTGAAATGGTGACCTGAGTTGACTTTGATATAGACACATGTCTGCCGGCATTACCAAAGTGGACAGAATTTTTGAAGGAGTATTCATTCTTTTTATATTTCACATATATTTCAATGTGATAATGTTAAAAATATCTGGGGACTAGCAAATTAATTTTCTCCTGACCAACTACATGTACATGTAGCTGACCAGCTACATATGAGAACCATAACATATGAGAACCATAGCAGCGTTGAATTTTAGGGATTTTTGGATTCACTTCCTTTTTGGATTCACGGGTGTGAGAATTCAGCTTTTTAGCTGGTTTCAGCTTTTTTGGTTTAGATTTTTACCCTGAACTTCAGCTTTTTTGGACACCTGGTCTCTACAAATGTACGGGAACCCTTGCTACATGTAGCTGTTTTCAGCTTTACTTTTAAGTGGCTACTCACCCATGTACATGTATGAGACAAGAACTCCCCCCAAAATATAACCCACAAGAGCCTGGGAGGGGGAAGATGGGAAGTTACGTACATGTATGTACATGTACCCACCCCTCCCCTGACAGTTTCTAGAATGCCATCACAAGGCAGTTTTTGGCCATGCCGAACCTTGAGGAATTTTTTAAAGTAATGGCTTGGAATCCGTCTGACATTGAATCTGGCATTCATGTCTTACAAAATGTCTGTTTGGGATTTTTGTTTATACAGTTCAGCTAAAAATATTAACTTTAACCCTAACCCTCCTCAATCCTCCAACAGGTGAAGGATTCAGGAGGGTTAGGGTTAATGCAGGCTGACTGCCATGAGGTCATGAACTAAGAACAAAAGCCTACAGATGCCAATTGAATCGAAAAGTTCAATATGTAGGGGTACATGTAAATGTACTGATAAGGAATGTCTCTGATGCTGGCAAGTATCAAGAAGATTGGGCCTGGGATAACTCAAATCTGGCCCCCCTCCCCCCCTGAAATGGTAAAGAGAAGAAGGCTCTCTTAGACTGAAAATACGCTCCATGCAAATTAAGAGTGCTGTGGTTTACGTGCATATTAACATGTGCAGTGTGGTATCCCTGAGAAAAAGATTAGCCCGTTACAAATATTTGAGCAGCTTTTAAAAGCTTAACCACTCTGCATATATAGTGCCTGCCTCTCAGGGAAAAAAAAGTGAAAACACTGTTCAGATTTCACTGAATGGTTTTTACAGAACGTCCCAGGAGCAAAAGTCATACCGTACGTGTGTTGTACTTAAAGAGGTAGGGAAAAGAAAACCTTCTTTCCCCAATTATAATCTTGAAAGAAGAGTTGACAAGACCATCTTCCAAAATTAACATTAAAAAAATGAAACTTTTTCCCATTTATGATCTAAAAAAATGTCCCAAAACTGGGCTTCCGCGAGTCCCTTTTTCGCCGATTTCAGAAACACTCATTATGTATTTATGATATATATACATGTAGCAGTGACTCCAAAACATCACGGGGAGATACGAGTCTCATAGTGTAGGCGTGCTCAAAATGCAATGTTCTTGCGTGGTTCTTGTCCACTCCGTTGATTGTTCCGTACATCAAGCTTAAGTGCATGATTTGTTGTATTTTTGTCGTAAAATAAAGCGTACCCCAGTCTTGTGCAGTTGGGACAGGAGTCTCGTACAGTTGGGACAGGAGTCTCGTACACTGAGACTTTGTCTCAAGGTTTTTGTGCAATAGCACGTAGAATCAATCTTTCCTAGACAACTTATTTAGGGTAGATTTTGAACCTTTTTGGTTGTCACAGATAAGCAATAAATTGGCCAAGGTTTTTTGGAGGACTGCTTCAGTAAACATCCAGTGTCTGCAAAAGCACTTCGAATTTAGAAAAGTGACGCATAAGCCTTGCCAACTCAGCCTGCTTGCGTTGTGTTGCAGCTGCAGGTGTACAGTGCTGTGCTGCTGGACCACCACAGCAGTCCTGCAACACTGACAGGTACCATGCTTCACATGTACACAGATACAGTACAAGGTAGCCTGCTGGTATGATTCAAGTCTGGGTACTCCTATACTAACCATGTTTTTCTCTGGCATGTGAATAGTCTGTTGCCACTTCTCATGCCACGCAACTTACATTCCACTCCACCTTCAACGTCTCATACTCCTTCATTTCGGAACGAATCTCACAATTATTTTGACCAGCTAAGAGTAAGATGTTAGGTTTATGCATCTTAGAGATGAATGTATAATATTGTGCATTTTCCTACATGTCATCAAAACTCATTTGAATTCCATTGGGCTGCAACAATGCCAGTTTACATGTATCTTCATGCATTTTCAGCGGATAAATTCATTGTATACCGTTTTCTGGGTGGCCAATCTACCGGTACATGAACCTCCTAAACCCTAGATGTCGCAATATCTGAAGCCTTTTCCCTACCTCTTTAAAAGTTATTCTTCAGCATACCGTATGTGTACGTACCTGTGTGTTGCACATTAGGGTGTGTCAAATGCACTTGAAAATTCGTGATATGGAAAGCAGACAGTCAACAAACAAAAAGTCTTGCCAGACTTTCTGGTGGCAGTTAATTTGGTTGTGAATTGGAGCACCGTATGCAGATTCCTTGCCTTGTTTGCCGTCACAAATGGATCAGTATACAGCTGATTTGGGTGTGCATTTCCACCATGATGAACAAGATGGCAGTTGTTGTGTGGGGAGGGAATCATTCGAAATGAAAAAGTGAATAATGGACAGGCCTGTCCCTGAAGTTTGAAAAACAAAAGGGTCGAGTTTTGGGGAACAGGATATTAACGATTTGTTTTTTTCTTGATTTCATGATTTTTAGCTCCCGAATCATGAATCTGTGGAGGTTTAGAATCACACATGCTTTTTTTTTTTCTCAAACAAAAAACCTAAAACAAAATATGGAAGATTCACGACATGGTGTAAAAGCCAGACTACAGTGTGTTTTGTTGTTTTATAGATATTTTTATGTTATTGGCATTGTTACTGAACGCCCCCCCTGGATGTTTCCTGGTCTAATCTTCATGTTCAATTCTCAGCCTAATTTGTAGGCTGAGGATGTAAACAAATTTACAGGTCAGTTGTGAGCTAAAATACCAACTTGTCCAAGAATGATACCTGTACCAGATGTGGAATTTTGGGAGGGGGTTGTTTCTGATAGATCTGGATCGCGACCAGTGATCCAAAAGCTGGTTCGCTTTTAGGCTGGTTCTAGAGTCAGTAAACCAGTAGCAGAATACTGATTGCGACCTGGATCGGCAGGAAACAAACAGGGCCCTTGGTCAGTTTTCAAACTTGAACATTCAGGCTGTGCAATGTGAAATACAAACCATGCACTTGTACATGTATGTTCTGTATGATTGATTCTTGTTTCATCAGAACATTTCCTTTTTATCACTCGGCTTTTTTTATAAAAAGAGAGCAGCCCTTTTGTGCCATGGGAAACTTCAGTTTATGTTCCCTCAGCTCTCTCAAGTTGATGTACATGTACCTCAGTAGCATAGGAGGCATGTGAAAGTATTTGATTTTTGTATGCATTTTCACGATGTTCATAATTGGGTGTGCATTATGTGGGCTCTGTGGCTTCTGTTTTTTGCATAAGCACGCTGGGAAACTCTAGTACATATGGCCATATTTTCCACCACTGTCACCACACCAAACTGGTTTAAAAGACACAACTCCAACTGGTCTGCCCACAGAGCCAAAATGATTTACGCAGGACGTAAGGTGGCAAATGTTGATTTTCCTTTGCAAGTGCCTGGCATTGCAGACCCATCTTTTTATCCCAGTGTGAACAAGTTTTGGAACCTTTGCATCTTGTTGGCCTTTTTTTTTTTTTGGTAAGCTTCGGCTGGTACCCTGCAGAATTCTATACAGGTTGCACAATGCATAAACAGCTGATCCCACTGCAGCGGCTCTACAGTAAGTATGGTACATGTACATGTTTTGGCTAGAGCTTTCTAGGTTAACAATGCCATGTGCATATTAGTGCTCTTGAAAGGGGTAGAATATCAACTCTACATGTAACCCTCCTATATCCTTCAAAAACTACCAGAAGGTTTTTTTTTTGTAGAATTTGCTAGGATTGAGGTAGGCAGATCCCTACCATTCCATGTACGGTATGTACAGTACATGTACTTGGGGCCTGATTTGCCTTGGAAGTTTTCATTTACTTGACTGCACTCTCGTCATACTAGTTTGCTTCCTAATGCACTCGTAGGCACTGACCTCATGAGGTCACTTTAGTCAACCTCGACCCCATGGGCTGTGTATGCGTTCCTTTAAAGATGACGAAGGGCATGATCATACCTATGGGAACAAGGTTGCACTTTAGTACACTGCAGTCGTTGGATGGCGCTATTTGAAAAATATAAAAAAACACCCACGGTATAGTGTCTTTAAGTGCAGAGAATATGCCATAGGGCAGTGTAGAGGACGAGTATATGTATGTTGGAGGTTAGTTTAATTAACGGTCATATGAAATCTAACAAATGACAGCAAACAGCAACAGAAAGCTTTCTATTTTCATGTTCATGTATTTCATCAACAGGTGGTTTGACTTAAGCTGTGTATGGGCTTGTGATTTGAACACTTACATGTAGCTCTAGCTCAGCGGAGAATTTGTGCAAAGAATTCAGGTTTAGATAATTAGACACATTTATAGCATTTTTTGATCGATTTGTTTTTACCCAACAGAGAGGCTGCTGTACACAGATGATTTAGGGCACAGTTCAAGTCCCCTAGATGATTGGGAGGCAGAAGCTGACCAAGGGGAACATATCATCCGTGTCCGTGATGACGAGGAAGATGAGGATGACAACACTTTCCGGGACAGCCGCTCGGACAACTCCTCTCTGCAGGACGAGGCCAGCCGGGCGGCCCGCACGCCATCCACCGAGGGTGGCATTGCCCCACCCCTAGTGGGGGTGGAGTCCTGCCACGCCTTCTTCTGCTACTCCAAGGAGGATGAGGAGTGGGTGGTTAACGTCATGCAGAAGCTGGAGTCGCCCGCCTATGGATTTCACTGCTGCAACCACGCCCACGAGCTGGACCCTGGCATCGTCCGCATGGACCGCATCATCAACGCTCTCTGCACGGCCCGCAAGATTGTGCTGGTCTTGTCCCCCGACTTCGTCCAGAGCCAGTGGTGCACCTACGAGAACTTGAAGGCACTCAGGTCTCACTTTAGGAATGTGAACAAAGTGATTCCTGTCCTTTTGACAGAAGTTGACCTGCCTGATTTCCTGCAAGATATACCTAACGTCAATGGCATGTCCAAGAGTTTCTGGCAGAAATTCATCGCTGCCCTGCAGTTTGGTAAGATTGTTTTAAAACAGAAATTCAGCAATGAAGTGATAGCAAAGGTGCAGTATGTTGGTGAATGGGTGATTTCAAGCCTTTATCGTAAAGAACAATTATTAATATGTGTGAGCATTAAAGACCTTCCATTAGTCTGCCAATTCTGATGGAGTGTGCTTGAGTGTTTGTTCTCTGACAGAAGTTTACTGTAAGTGGAAATGGGTCATTTTATAACTTAAGGGTCCACGTTTTCTCATGTCCCTGTCACATCTGGTATATGATTTGGTAAGTTTAGAATAGGTTTTAATTTCCAAGGGTGATGAAGTAAAGTAATCTACCAGCCCAGCTAATAAAAATAGTCAAATGTCAGGAACCTTTGCAATCTTCCATGTCTGGTCAGGCATAACAGGGGCGCCAAAAAGGCACACTTTTGGACCCTGAATATATATTATGACCCAAATGTTTGGCTAGTTTTGAGTGGCATTTCACAGAGTGATGGAGAAAGGGATGACAGGTTGGTGGAATGATTTTGTGTCCTAGGTTACACTTGATGCACTCATTTCAAACTGGTTAGAACAGATTCCTCACAGCTAAACTATATTACAGGTCAGAATTTCAGCCGACACGCTAACACGATCAATGAACCTGACACGCTGTTCAATGCACACTTTGCGGTTTTTATCATGCATTGCTGGTCCAATGCACGATGTGCCTGACCCTGGACCTCATTATCTTGGCAGGGCTTGTGACTATAGACCACAAAGGTGACCGACAATCTGTAGTGAACCACTGCACACCCAGGGCTGTCGCTCCAGCTTCGTATACGCGTGTACACTGTTACATGTACATGTATACATGTATACATGTGTACATTGTATGGCATGCAGTGCACTGAATAAGTGAAATCATGTACATGTAGTGCCTGGCTGGCAAGATGACCATCTTGAAGTATAGAAATATGTATCACTATCACAACCGTGTTTTCTTTTGGTTTTGGATCGCAAAATTTGTTCAGTCGGATTACATCTGGAAAATGTCAAATTTCAGTGAAACTGGCCAGTAGTCCACCGTGTGTGTTTAGCTACTACAAAACTTTTTCCCAAATGTAAACTTTGAATTTTAAACTCACGGGATCGACTGGAGTGACGACGACGCTTTTTTTGCTGGTTCTATTGCTAGATCGGTTTTAAGCAATTCCCAATTGCGCGAGTAACTTATTCACAAATAAAAAGTAACCACGAAAGAAATCCATTCCTCAGCCAGAACTACTATAACAAGTTGATTTTACAATGAAGAACTTCTTATTTTATGGAAATTTTGTATCAGAATTCCAGTAAAACTCCCACTGAACTTGCGTAAATTTTAACTTGACATTTTATTTGTTGCCACATGAGCCGTGTCCATGCCAAAACCAAGCAATTACGAAACTACAACCACCCCCCTTTCAACCCCAATTGATACCCCAACCACCGATCATAAATCAAAACAAGTGTATTGCATATTCATTTTGATACAGCGGCAACTAATGCAAAGCTACTGTACAGCCCTTTCACGTCACACAACATGCATATTTATGAAGTTCACATGGGTGCTACTTTGTGCATTATGTGCAGCCGGTGCATGCACACCGCTAGCGCAGGTGCAAACCCGCTTTCAGTTCAGTATAATCTTTGCCGTTCAGTTTGGTCCTAAAATTGTCACAATCAGAGCAATTTTTTTAGGTAGGTTTTCCAGCTCAAAGGTCAAAAACTGACGGGAAAAATCCCCACCTCACATTGAATTTATATCGCCCGATTTTTAACACACTGAGCTCAGGTGTGTCTGCTAGGATCGACACTGTGGGGGCTGTCTTGACTAAACTTTGGCTAGCGGACCAGCGAGGTCAAACCCCATTTATATTTTGTGGATTCTTACAAAATAGATTTCTCTAAGCTAGGAAATGTTTTGTCATAAAAACTGCTAGTTATAAATGTTTCGGTTGAAAAATTGATTTCATGCTTGAATATTTTCTGTGCCTGATTCAGAAGTTTTGGGAGCAATTCAGACATAAACCAAAAGTGTGGCCTGCATGGCACTTTCATTGATCCTGAATGGGCAAACAAAATGCTTTATCTTCGAAAATGATTTTGTGATGGCTGCTACATACAAGGTAAACTACTTACAACATATCCGTGGAATTTGAAGATAACTTGAGCTGCAGTCAAGCTGAATACTTTTCATTGTGGGAAACTAGGAAAATGACTGCTCCAGTAAACAATGGCTTGGCTGTTCTGGGGTTTGCATGTAGCGTGTGTATGTTTATACTCGGCAGATCAGATTGCAGTGTCAGCGTTCTCTGTTATGAAAGGGGTCAGCATGTTTCGTGTTTGTGGTTAACTCCTTGCGTGTCTGTTTGTCTCAATACATGCTGACACGCTTAGCGTGTTTGCGTGTCAGCTAAAATTCTGACCTGTACTGTAAGTATCTTTCCCCACACCTTCTGCCTGAAGGTTTGATTTACAGCTAGCTTGAGAACATAAGTGAAACTTTGAGGTGAAATCTTGATGGACCGTTCTAACATTTTGTTCCATATTTTTAAAAAGCTGTTTTTTACTTTGCACTTCTGTTCCTCATGTTTCCACAGATCCTTACAAAGGAACCCTCGAAACATCAGCCCATTACAACATTCCTGGTAAGCAGAAAATGGAAAAAACAAAAAGACTGTAAATGTTCATGGAAAACATGTTTCCCAGAACATCTAAAGACCAGCTCTCCTTCGATGCAGAAGTGCATGCAAAACAATCATTCCACAAAGTCCCACGAGTTAAACACATTTTCACTTTTGACGGCTGTCAGATCACATCTCTGTGAGTGCATGATGACATCAAATTGGCCTTTATATTCTCTCCTGCCCCTCAATGTCAGCCGTAATGCTGGAAGAGTGCGAAGCCGACAGAGAGCTGCACATTACCCTTTTTTTGATTGGGACTTAACCTGTCCAATCCATCAGTGACCCCGGAGTGGCATTTCTGTGTCTCTGGGCGACCCCGAGGCAAAGGTCACCAAAACTTTTCGGAGCATCTTTGCCCTGAAAGGCATTTTCCCATCCATATTCCACAATCCCTACAAGAAAATCTCACCGTCTGGTTTCATTGCCCGTTGCAGCCCTGTATAATGGCGTCGAGTTGGGCCAGGTGTCCTCCATGTCTGAATGTTGTTGCCAAGCCAGATTTGACACGGTCTACTGCCCAGACGAACTCGCTAGGAAGGGAGTCATGGTGGGTAACACTGTTAATCCTAACTCTGTGGCATTTCTACAGAAATGGCATGTCCTTTAGAAGGACATCAAGCCCCATGTCCGGTAATAGTGGCTGGGCTCTATCTTCCTTGATCCTGCAAAATCTTCCGAAAGCTCCAGATGGATTATAAAGGGATCTCTTAAAGGGTCAGGGCTTACAGAAACTTTGTTTGGGTCTCCACTCTGGTAGATTCCACAAACGGATTACACGTCGTGCATCAACACCATCCTGGACAGCCCCAAGATGCGTTGGCACACACTCTGGTACAACCGGGTCTTCAGCGTCACCCTGTGCATCTGCCTCTCCATCCTGATCATCGTGGGCCTGGTGGGGAACCTGAGTGACTTTGGTGGGGAGGGGGCAGCTCTGCCCGCCGGCTGGGCCTTCCTGATTGGGCTGGTGCTGTCTGTAGTGGTCAGCACGCTGGTCCACATTATCACTCACCTGGAGACGGTCAAGGTAGACAGAGAATTTCTTCCTTTCATTGGCACCGTAAGTCTTTTGTGAGTTAAATTTGACTAAAATCTGGTACACTGAATTGTTTTAAATTCACATGAACTTAGCGATTTCCATACTAAAGACACTGTTGCTATACCAGTACCTCATGATTCGGGCCAAGCTTTTGCTGGGTTACATAAGAGACGCCTTGCACCAATACACTGTTCTCAGTGGATGAGAATGGCACAACGGAATTAGTCCATTGCGGAGAAGGTGGTTGCTATGCAAAATTTTGTCCCGAATCACGACGTATAACAACGCTGTCTTTAGTCCGGGGAGTTTTAATCGTTATGTTTATGTGCAATCAGATAACTCAGTGTACCAGACTTAATTCAAATGTAACTCGCAAAAGGCTTATTTGTGACCAGGACTGTGAAAAGGAGTTGCAAATTGCCAAACCACTTTAGAGTAAATGACCAAAGAATGTTCTACAAATCAACATTTTGATCAGGATACCAAAGTCAATCAAAACAAAACATCAAAACAAAGAGACCATTTTACTCTTTCATAAACATACTCCAACCAGAAAGTTACATCGGCGACTTCTGAATCAGTTTCACAGAATGGGTCGCATTTCTCATTGAGTGGGTAGGGAAAATTAATGTATGTGAAATTTTAAAGGGGACAGGTACTGGACGCAACCTAACTCTAGGGGGCACTGTCTGGCTGAGTGAAGGAATAAAGCAAATTCTCGTTCCTGTTTCCTTTGATCCCCCTCCATTTTAAAATTTATTTTGGTGGAGGGGACTTCAATTTGTAACAAATTTGGACTTTAATACATATTTCAGGCACGCAACTTGTCCTCGGATCAGCTGATTCCCTTGTTTATCGCTTCACACCCATGCCACTGAAAATTAAAAAACGCTTCACAAAGTCTTGTCAAGATAGTCATTTGCTTGTTTTCTTTGTCAAAGTCCCAAGTTTGCATGCCTGGTATTTGTCTGTGTATGCATATCCATGCTTTGTGTAGCTGTCTTAGTCATAGGGCCTGGTGGTTGTACTTTGTGTTCTTCGGCAATACCCTTACCCTCTGCCCAGGGGTGTATATGGGTATCTGGAAGGGGCAAATCTTAGCGGTAGGTAGCATCCAGCTGTATACTCCCCAGGGAGCTGAGATGGTTTCAGGAATGTTAATGCGCCCGGTGAGCGTGGATAACAAGGATGTAGCACTTCTGGCAGTAGTGATGGTGGATGCATTTGCGTTACGTATTTTGTTTTGTAAAATGTGTTCATTTATTCATCAACAGCTGAACACCCACATCGAAAACCACCTGGCGAAGGCTAACGTGAACTTAACTAGACATAACGTCCTGGTCGGCATGACGGACTGCTTCACCTGCTGCTGGAACAGAGCCAGGGTATCCTTTGATTAATGCTGCTGCTGGCCCCTTGGGACAACCCCCCCCCACCACACCCACTCTTACGAAACCCTCAGACGAAGGCCACCGGCATAATGAACTCATATTCGGGCGGCGTGCAGGTATTCTGTGATTCATCGGATCCCTCGATGGTGGAATTCCCACGTGCCATTACAGGTTGACAAAAAACCAAAAAGCACCATTCAAAGTTTGGGGCAGCTTGGTATTTCTTCCTGTTGTGTTTGTTTTTTTTCTCTCTCTCCTGGTCTCAGAGTCACGCACATAAAAGGGGACTGCAAGTACCACTCTGATGGCTTTTCCCACGGTCCCTTCAATCAGATTCCGAGTATTCTTTGCTAAGCATGTTAAGCACTGCAGGGATGCCCATGACCTCGGCGGAAAGCAGCAATGCTGATACGACGGCCAAATTGTACACTGATGAAATGTGACCCCAATTGACGAAATCTGTCGCAGGCCTTCAAAAGAAATTTGCAACACGCAAATCCGTGGTGAACCCTCAGTATTTCTCATCACGCAATGTCCCTTGTCACCGGGATGCTATTAGACACATCAAGATCAAGGGCTCCATTTGCTGGTTTTAAACTAAAATGGAATCACTGGAACTGTTGGCTGAAGGTTCATTTTGTCGGATCCAGCCACAAACATGTGAAAAGAGGTAAACCGGATGCTGCATCTTGCCAGACTCAAGATGCTTATTGCCGCAAGTAATGCGATTATGGATCAGGCCAGTTGTAATAATGGTAACTTTGGTGAAGTGAAGGAAGTATTTCCCAATCACTCCGATGCAAATTGATTAAATTATGGAAATCTCCTTGACCTTCCGCTACAGCTGCACTTCATCTACTATGACCTTCGGAAATGCAGGGTAAGTTTGCAGGGGGGCTGTTTTTGTCCATGAAATGGAAAACTGTTACATTACCCTCTCAACGTGCCGTATACAGCCAGAACAATTTTTTAAAAACTCGTTTCTGATACCTTGACAACCTTAAAATTAAGATGGAGTTGACATGTATTTTTTTTCGACTGCCTACACATTTGCTTGTTTGTTGTTAGTTTGTTCATGCTTATTTTGTCATTAACTTGTTCGTTGATGCTTTGTTGATTGATGCATTCATCCTATTGTTTCATTCACTTGCTCCTCCCATTACGATTCATCATTAGCTCAGTCTTAAATTCGTTTTGTTGCCTATGCGGTAAGCTCTACATGCATAGAAGAATATCCGGTAGAGCACTTCAAAAAACAATTCATCACCGAAGAAGAGGTGATGAGGAGAGGGCGTTTTGTTGCTTAGCAGTAACCGCTCATTGTGTCAAAACAAGTGGCCCCCTTTATGCGTTTTACTGGTGGACACACCCCCACTGCCTTTCATTTCATATGCACATATCACTAGGAAATGCAGTCAGACTGGCTGCAGTGCCTTTGTTGCCATTCGAACACTGAATAATTGTGGAGGCAGGAACCAGGCCGTCAGCGCAGCCTTGAGCAAGTTTGACCGGCAACCATTTTGTACCCAGTTCGTGTCTTTGCACAGGTTACTAAGGAACAAGTTGACATGTGGGCATCACTCCAGCTTGGGCCTTTCTGTTGAAACTCACATGAAGGGCGGGCCAGGAGGAAGTATCCTCCATCCTTCCTGATCAGCAACTTCACTGAAAACGGCAATAATTTTTTTGGTGGGGGGGCGAATCATTGACTAAAGTGTCTGTGCATGTACATGTATGTACATTTTGCTTGCACATATGGCAGTACTGTTTCCACACCTGTTTGTGGTGGCTGCCTGGAAGTTAGAAGTGCAGTAGCAAAAATAGCGCTGATAACGAGTATAACACGTCGCTCGCACGTGCAAGAGTGCAAGGCACACTCCAGTCTCTTCTCTGGGCATACTGGGAAACCTTTTTTGACACCTTTATCAACATATATCTAGAAACATGAAGCATGACTGTTGGGGTTTTATGCAACACGTGATTTGTATACCAGATGTCAGAGCCCTGGATATGGTATGAATGCATTACCAGCCTCACAGCCCTTATACTCTGTGATCTTGCACAACCAGGATTTTGTTAAAGGCCCAGTATGGTACATTATTTTAAAAATTGTTTTCCCTCCTTCACATTGGCAGTTGCATGTGGACACAAAGTTGAGGGTATGAATGAAGTTGATTGTGGTTAATTATCGTTGGACTTCAAAATGAAAATCATATGGCATCTTATTTGCATGGTGTTTGTTGAAAGTGCACCATGAGAGGGAATCTTCCACCTGATTTTGTACTCAGTTTCTTGACAACATTTTGACCGTTGGACTGTAATTCTAAACAAACCAGCGCACCAAATGTTGGCATTACTAACGTCTGCCTTCCCACCCTCTGTGGCCCATGTGTGACTGCAGTGCTGGCTGGATGTTGAAATAGTGTGTAAAAAGTTTTGCCGATGACGCGGATTGCCATCTGTAGTGTAGAGAGACCAGTGAATAGTTTCCTTGCCGTAGTTTTTCCACATTTCTTCGGACGTGTTGCAGTTGACACCTCTTAAGACCTCCACAAGACCACTACAAGACCATCCCAAGGCTCCAGAAGACCAATATAAGACCTCCTGTCTGAATTGGATTCACTAGCAATTCAAATGAACAACAGTAAAAGCACTCCTTTTTCATTCTTCAACCTGCTACTTGTGTCTGGTCTGGTGTTTGGTAGTGGGAATAGTCTGCTGATCTCAACACTGTCCCTCTTTACACTTGGATTTGATTGTACAAATGTTTGTTTTTACTGGTTACTTTTTGTAGGCCACCATGTACGAGTTTTTGACGGAGAAGAGGAAACTACAGAGAGGAGTCAACAAGGTAACAGTTGACAAAATAAATCAATGGACTTGCTAAGCATGAGCATTGCTTCCCTGAGCTGCTGTGGGTTTGCCAACCAACTTGATATCCGACTGACATTGACTGCAGCTGGTATTCTGCTGAACTGTTATGGTAGCTTTAATATCTGGAGTCAGCGGTCCAGCGCAGGCTTTCAGTTCTACATCTGCATATGTTGTCAGTGTGTCACCTCGTATTTGCAAAACACTGGAGAAATATTTTGAGCTATGGATTCAAATGTATAAGTCATTTCCTTGCACCGCCCCTCCAATTTAAACCCATTCATGCCGAGATTCTTTTGACTGCGACTGCTGGGCTGCGGTATGCGCGGTATGCAAAGCCCTGTCCAGCACCCAGCCCACATTGAAACCGCAGGTGCATTATGAATAGAGTGTATGTGCGCTATGCACTAATCCTCTCACAAAGCTACAGCTGCGAAGGGGTTAAGACGGAAAGTAGTCACTAATTTTTTTTTTCATGGAGTCCTTATCCTTGTAGAAATTCTTAGCAGCTGTCCTTGGGCAGTATGTCTTTTTTTTTTGCCCGACTCTTTGGCCGACACCAAGAATACATTGTGAATATACATTTGCTTCGGTGTGAGGGCAAAAACCTAATATGAAATTTACATTTCCAGTTGATACAGTTAATATGCCAAACCCTCGGAAAAGAGTAGCCTTTTGGCCCTAAAAATGCACAGAAGGAAAACATTCAATGTACTTTCCTTCAGAGTCTGGGCCCTTGAAATGTGGAGTTTTCAACCTAATCACCTTCAACCGTTGACTTCAGTAACTTGGTCTACATTATGGGACCAGGCAACCATGACCAACTTCCCTACAACGGAAGAGAAAAGTTGATCATGTTTTTGTGAGGAGGTTTTGCAACCAAAAAAACCCCGGCTACAGCAAATACGAAATTATATTTGAAGTTGATATCTAAAGGTTGTTGGAAAGCATCTTGGGTACTCAGATTTGAGTGCACTTTTCACATACCCTTTTAAATTTTTTCTTCGAATTTTGGAGTTAAATGTATAATTTGGTTTTCTCAAGCACACCACTGTCACACATGTGTATCTTCCATACCACTTTGGTGTCTCCTATAACAATAATAATATTTGAAAATTTATAATGCACTGTTTCTGTAAAAATGATCAACAGCGGATAAGGGAATACACCATGCTTTATTGCTTAAACACTCCTACAGTGGTGGGCACTGGTGGCAGAAATGGGAGGGCTAGGGGGACCAGTGGCGCCCACACTTTTTCGATTGGAGGCCTGCCCCCCCTCCCACTTTTTGCAGGTTCCTATAATTGGGTGGATCAAACCCTAAATGGCTCATGCCTGACGGTCTGACAACTGGCCCCTCCCGATTCGGAAATCATTCCGCTGCCGTTGGCGGTGGGCATTGTCATATTTGAAGAACTTGGCTGATTGTCTGATACATAAATGACATCTTGTATGTAGACTCTTTGCTGAGGGATGTTGCGTTTTCTATTCTGACACACAGTGTGTGTGGGGCACTGCCGTATCTGATGAACTAGCGCCCCCCCAAAATAAAACAGGCCAGAACAGGGAGGTTCAATGCAGATTAATCTTCATTACTTTGCATCCCCCCAGGATGTGACCGTGAGCTTTGACCTACAAGGGGGCGGGGACATACATGAGGGCGGGGACATCGACGACACCTCCCGTCTCACCATCGACACCAGGCACCGAGTGATGTCTCCCGAGACCCTGACGGCAGCTGCCGAACCCTCGTCCATACAGGTGGGTGGGCACCCAGACGTTGTGGTGTCTAGCTTCTTATAAACTCTTACAGCCTGGGGGTTCTTGCAACGAACCTAAGGGAGTCGGGCTGGCATGGTGTTTCTTTCCTGGCCTTCCTTCCAGAGGATACAAAGGCATGAAAAGACATAAGGATTGAAGAAATAGTTGCAATAAAGACAGGCCAACAGGCCAGTGTCGGAACCACGATATGGGGATACCTACATCTGTCCCGCCAACAGGGAATTAGTAATTACGTAAGCCTACCCGTAATGATGTTGGTCATGTGTCCACCTTTTCTGGAGACAGACACCTCTAACCCTAATTGATACACTACATACGTGCATGTATAATGCCGTTCCGCATTTGATTCCCTTTCTCCTTAGGAGGAGGCGGAGCTGTACCTCCTACAGTGTAGTCCCGCCTACGTCCACAACATGATCCGAGGCCGCCTCCCGAGGGCGCTTCGAACCCTCCATTGCGACCACGACATGTGCCTCTGCCAGTTCACGCAACTCAAGATTTTCAACGAGGAGGTTTGAAACGCCCACGCACAAGTTACTCTTCAGCATTTTAGTTTCATGTTGCATTTCCAATACTATGCTTTTATAAAGTACATCCCCTCCCTGAACAAATTCCATTCTCTTACTGTAAAAAGTCCTCACCTCCCAACTTCATTTTACATTCAGTTAAGATATTTTTTGACAAAAAGTCTAATTTCATGTGTGATTGGTTTTATGCAGAAAGAGTTGGGCAGTTCTGTGTATCCAAGTGTTGGGGATCGATTTCAACTCGAAATTTGTTTTAAAGGAAATTTAAGTATCTTTCCAGTTTTTTCAAACAGTTAACTGTTTGCTAAGTGTATGCCCTACACCTGTTGTACATTCCGTAGAGTCATTCCCCTTGTAGTTGGGGTAAAAACAGGCATCCTGTTGCAACCAAAGACAGAAAAAAAATTGGCAGAAATTTCCTCATAAGTGCTGCCAGTCTTGTTTGGTGAGGAAAGATGTATTTGTCTTCTGGAATTGTGCCATAGTTGTCGTGGAAGTGAGTGTCTTTGAGGAGGTCACTGGGGCAGCCTTTGACTCTGAGGTCGTCTGGGCTGACTGCTCGTAAAAATATGGAGAGAAGGGGGGAAAAAATGGTTTTCCATCTGCGCAGACCGTTGTGCCGTTAATAGTTGCCAGAACTCAAACTTGAAATTTTCTGTGGGAAATGCATACCCTTGTTCCATTTTGTGCCTTGTATTTCATGGAAAGTTTTCATTCATCCAAAATGGAGTGAGGGTTTTGAAGTTGTCTCCTGCACGACGTGGTGTTGTCATTTGCACATGGATCTGGTGGTGGCCATGCTGGCGCCACAGGCAAATCCAAGTCACCAATAATGGGTGTGAAGTTCAGTGAATAGAATCCAAGGCTGAATCCATATTTATCCGTCGTGGGGTCTGAGCTTAAGGCACCGGTAATGCTGGTCATCACCGGTAATGCTCGGGTTGGACAGAATCAAGAGTCCCATAAGCATCAATGCAACTCAAAGAACTCCTTACAATGGTGCCTTCTCCAGTAAAATCAACAAACCACCTCAGATTTTCTTTTTTACCCTAACTTGATGTAAGTTTCATTGCTTTGTGGACAGTGATTATTATTTTTGCTTCTTTTTCCCAATTTAATTTTGGGTGTTTTTGTGTTGATTTAGCTTCATTAATTTTAGGGCGAGTTTAGCACAAATTTCCTTAGTTTCTCTTGCATTTGTTTTCTGATGAGTAAGCATTTGTGACAACCGTGGGTGTTGGGAGGGGGAGGGGGGGCAAAGGGCACTCTCCCTTCCCCGCCAGAAAAGTTCTGTCCCCTTCCTGGGGGCATCCGCGGTAACAAAAAATGAGAGGTACACGATTGGTTCATTTTTAACCAAAAAGTTCATTTTTAGGACTACTGACTCACAATACGGGCGATTCACAATAGTTCGCCACCAAGAGTTTGCAACGCGTCGGCCGATCGTAACGCACGAAATTTGTCGACCCAATGCGCGTTTGGAAAGGGTCAACAAATTTCACGCGTTATGATTGGCCAACGCCTTGCAAACTCATGGTGGCACACTATTGTGAATCACCCGTATTGGAATGTTATTAAAGTGCTTGGGGAGATATATACAATGGTGCCTTCAATGACAAAAATTCAATTCAATCTTTTCCACTGTGATAATTAATTACCCCCAACAAGACTCAATTTGAAACAGAATTAATGACAGTAACTATTTGACGCATGCTGTACTTGTCATGTACGAGTGTTTAGTCTTGTACACCAGTCACTGAAATGCTATCCTATTTTCGTACAGTACCTATTTCTAATAACCAGATACTCGGACAACTTTTCTTGCTGCTGTTTTGCTTTTTATGTACATACAAGTGTGGCTGGAACAAATTCTTCAAATATATATATATTTTAAAAGCAAACGAATTTTTAATAGGGGGAGTTTTTGAGCATGACAAAGCCAAACAACTTGAAATCCTCTTTTGTTTCAGATTGTCGGCAGCAGCTGTAGAAAAGATTTTTTTATTTTTATGGAATGAGTGCCCAATAGGTATTGTGGGATGTAGATGGAATGTGTTTTTCAGGATGTTTTGCCCTACAATGTGGGATTAGAATAATGAGGAATGTTATAGCGAGGATAGGTAGACTTTGTGCAGAGTAAACAAGGTTGGTCGCGAGCCAGAATTTCATATGCCCGCAGATCAGTTTGACCTCGTGCCCAGCGTTGTCTGCAGTTATGGCATCTGTGGGAATTTGGTGCCTCTGTTGTAAACCATTTCTAGAAAAAGTCCCATTGAAAAGCATTATTTGTCCAGTCATGTTAGAGTTGTACATATGTGTCAGTACATGTAATTATGTTTGAGTTTCGCAGTCTTTAAAAAAAATTAAGTTTAGATGTGTAATACTTGGCTTGATTGATGATTTTCTATATTCAAATGTTTCATTGTTATGGTGTGTTATGGAAGGGAAGTAGGTATTAGAGAAGCAATTATGTGTATTTTTTGTTCATTTTATGCGCTGTTGCTCCAACACAGCTGATAGTGCTTTACACTTCATAGTTTTTTTTTTGTTTATTCTTTTAAACCGTCATACCTTTAATTAGGTTCATAAAAGTGTTTGTACAGGATTCCCCTCATGAAATTAAACCCGTTTTAATCTAATCTGGCCTGAGACTGACTGGTGAAAACCCTGCTGCATTTGGTGGGGGTAAGGTTGTTGTGATGCCATGTTGGTAACAAATTTCATTCTCCCGTTATGGAAGCAGGGACTCTTTGACCCGTGTTGCTCTTTTCCCTGGTATGCTTAAAAGTTAATGATGCAGTGATAAGCTGAAATTTCATGCTTAATAAAGAAAGTTGGAACGTTGTTTTTTTTTTAAATAAAATTAGAATATTCCTAGGGAGGATTTGATTTACATAACAGTTTATTGATGCACCATTTATTTGTGTTTTGATTTGTTTTTTTTGTCATGTTTTACTGTAGGACTGCAGCAATTTGAATGTAATTTGGAACTTTAAATGCCGTAGTTGAATTTATGAAATCTGTACTAAAGTTGAAGGTTTCTTATGAATTTGTCATCTCAAAATTGATTTTCCATGCAAGGCAACATTGTGGCCAAGCCACACTATTGCCTTTTTGTATCAACAATGTACAAAAGTCTGGATAGCTCACTGGCCATTTCAAGCTTTGCAAAATTAATGAAGCTGCTCACTGGTTTCCGACCAAGCAATTTGTAATGTGCAGAGGGAACCAGTCTTAACCACTGCCATCTTTGAAGTTTCGTCTGTAAGTCTATCCCCGGATTGGTGATGTCAAGGATGGGTCTTCTAACAACTGATGGTCTGTCCAGATTTTTGGTGCTTTGATAGGGGTGTTATTATAGACATTTTGAATGCAGTTTAACTATAAATGTCACTTCTAACACTTTGGATCCAACTTCAGCTGTCAATCCCATAACCAGCAGCTATGGTTTTTATCGCCTGGATTTCTGATGTGGATGAAATCTTTCAAGTTGTTTGAGCACCACACATCCCTTCGCAGCTCTGGGGCAGCAGCTGGAAATGTTTCAGAAATGCCTTTATAGGAGCTCTCTTTTTATCACACGTACTACTCTTCTTAAAAATGCGTAATACTCAGTACATATTGGAAGTTTAAAAAATAATGAATTATATTTTACGTTTTACAAACATGTTTGTATGTGGGAGCCGATTTCGTTGAAAGATATTTTGTATACGAGTTTGAATACAGGGTCAAATGTAGGTTTTTTGCACAAGATGCTTCCTCAAAATCACCAGCCTATTCTTATTCCTTCCTACTTGTCTCTTTTTAAAAACTCATTGTCAATGTATAAGTGATAATGCATACATTCTATATGCGGCCATCTTTGTCTTGTTCCTGAAAGTCAAGCCTGAAGGGGCTTACATTCCCATTTGCACCAGTCTGTGCTTCTCACAGTTTGACTCTTCACTTCATATTTCATGTACGATGATGACACTTCTAAGGAGAAATCTTGTGCATTTTTTAATTGTGCCATTTAAGATGCAAGAACAAAACTGCACCTGTTATGGTTGTTTTATACACATTGGCACCGGTGGTTGAATCAACTAAAACAGTGGCCAGAGTTTAAAAGTCTTCAAATGTCAAATATGTTGCAAAATGTTGATACTTTTGGAATGTTTACCTGATGAAAGCACACTTGTCAGATTTTTTTTTTAACCTTCATCAGCATTTATTGGAAGCAGTTACCAGGGTTCAGTGATTTTTCTTCCAGGTGGGTAAAATATTTCCAGGTAATGGATGCAACAGAAAAATGGCCTCCTGCTGAATAATGTGGAACAATTGACAATCTCCAGGCTTTTCAATAACTTGCGTATTACACTTTCATAGACTACTTATTTACTCTCAGGTACCGGGGAAAAATTTCAACAAACTTATGTACAAAGAATTTCTATCTTTTTCAAAAGAAATCTTTGAAAAGGGCAATTTTAGATATCTTCAATCCATGGGTTTTTGGTACAAGGGCATTTTACTATTAGAAGCAATGATAAATAGTTGCAAAAGTACTTAAGGCTTTTCTCGAATAATTTTTGTACTCTTGAAATTTCTAGATTTCTTTGCAAACTTTACTATTACACGTTCACCAGTAGTGTGCTTAGCCTTTTTGTATATATTTCATCTCAACTCCAGCGTCTTCCAGTTATATATTATGCGCCATCTGACATTTATGAACGAGAATAAAGTATTGTCTGATACAGTATTTCTCTTTATGTTGTCTTTTCCTTGGTGAATGGTTTAGTCTTGGAGCAACACGTCAGCCACACCAACTCTATCCGCCCTGAGTAGAAGCACCCCCTCCTCGGTTGAAAAGAGCCGCGTTGGTCGGGAGTGTTGTTGGTAGCGATGCGACTGCAACGCTTGTTTTATAGTCGTTCGTGCAATGCGTGTTACTACCAAATTCAAAGGCGTCTCCGAAGCTGGGGAAATCGCGCCCTCTCTTGGTCCAGCTCGGGGCTCCTATTTTCAAAAGGGAAATCCGACGTTCCAACAGGGGAAGCTTCTACGAGACTAGTTTCCTTTCAAATGTGGAAATAACACATTTTTCCCCATAAGAAAGCATGGTATATCCATAGACAGTTGTATAATAAACAAAACAATAAAAATACACAAGCATTGGCTATTGTTTTGGAGCCGTCTATAAAAGAATAGAGATTTAGGCCCTTTCCAAAGGCTTCGGCTCGTCTTCAGGTTAGTCCAAGAGTTCTTCGACCAGCTTCAGAAATTTATTCTGAGTTTGGTCTTAACTCGGGTATCTATGAAGCTCCCGCCTCTGATAAAGACGGACGGTAGGGGATTCATTGTGCGGATCTATTATCGCCGTGTCTGGCCGTGCCAACTTATACATGGTTTTGTGACGTCAATGGACATCGATCCGTTACCCCATCGCATCAACTCGCCACAGAAAACGTTCTTTGTGACTATATGACTAGATCGATTTAACTCTTGGCGTTTTAGCTACGTACACTCACTTTGTGCTTACATTTTATTTGCCCATTTCAAGGAGTTATAAGATCGATAGTTTACAACTTTCCTGACAATCGGCTCTATATTTGCGCACCTGCCGTCGGCTTTTATGTAGCGAAACGGACGATAAAACGGGCGGAAACCGATGTCAAAACCTTTTTTTTTCTGTCTCGAAGCAAATTCAAGTTTGGCAACAGAACTCAGAAATAAATTATACAAAATTGAACAATTTTCAGTACACAACAAAACGTCCAAACTTTCAGACAAAAGTAAGCCCTTAGATTTTATTCCTCAAATAGAAACTACAAATCTTCATTTGTAAAACATTTTCAATCATACAATTCAGGTTCAGTAACCCAAAATTTCCTGGTCCTTGATTTGACTTTGAAAAGGGTATTTATATGGTCGTGAATCTGAATTATCGAATACGCGTTACACAGCGATAAAAGTTCCAGTGTAAAATTATTCTAGGCATTAGGCCTAAATCCCGTTTTTAAGCAAACCTGACGGTGAGAGAAACGAACAACGTTGGCCTAATACATAGTTTTCAGTGCCAAGATACTGTCAGTTACAGCCTTGACCAAATATTTCTTACATGCTCAACATCTTTGACAAAATGAACAAACCCAGAAATGTATGCTACCCTTATAAAAGCAATGATACAAAACTGATGAAGTAACAAACACTTCAAAAAAGTTACATTATTTCCAGCTTTTGTGTTTGAAGAAAGCACTGAATGAGGGTTTTTACAATAAAGTTCAAGGGAAGACATTTGAAGCAAAACACTGGAAAATACATGATGGTTGTCATTTATGCAAATTTTCCATTACTACAGGCAAAACAGAAACAGCGTGGTGTCTGCATGTTATATTCATTTGCCGCAAAATTAACAGTTCCGGAAACCTATTGTTGTGGGATAAATTCAACACCCTTAAGCGGCACGAGCAAACGAGGTGCGGACTTGCTTGGCCGGAATAGCTCGGCGTTGCCTTTGCTGCCCGGTGCTGGCCTTAGTGGTCTCCTCAGACATCCGGCGGAGAGAAGTCCCCGCTTTCGGCAACATCTTCCCCTTCTGCTGCTTGTTGAAACTCTGAGCCCGTTTCTCGAGCCGCTCCACCGCCTGAACTATCTCCTCCTTGCTGGGTACTTGGGGCAGGGGCTTACCAGCCTGAGAAGTGGAGAGTGTGTCCGACGTCTTCTCCTCGTAGCGCTTGAGGTTGTCGAAGATGTGCTTCAGCTCCTTGCGCTTGACGTTCTCAGGCGCTCTAGATATCTTGACCTTGACGATGTCCGCTAGGACCTTCTTTTTCACAGCTTCCTTCCGGAATTTCTGGTGTTGCTGTTGATTTGCCGCCGCTCCTTCAACCTGTAGATAATTGGAACAAGCTTAAGAGGTTGAAAAGAATCGAGTCCAAAGGATACGCTTTTCCACCATTGTACAACCGCATCACAACTCTACCACGTGCTGTGTTGGATCAAGAAATGTAAATAGATCACGTTTACACAATTCATGACTTTTTACTGGACCAGCAAAATAATGTCTCAATAAAACTCCTTTGAAAAACAGGAGCGTAACTCTAAGTGCCACTGGTCAATTTACGGGGCAGATTTGGTGATACGCATCTTCCGTTGCTAATTCGATGATAGTTTAGTCTGGGCCAAATGTTCTCAAAAACTTTTCATGAACAAACCATCGGCCTTACCTTCGCTTTCTCGGCCCAAGAGCAGGCCAAGAGAGTGCCGAACACAACCAGCAGGATCAGTGAGCGCATCTTGTGGCGCATCGGTAAAAAGTTGACCGTTCAGCCCAGAACGTACGGAACACTACTCCGTCTGCCCAAGGTTCATGGTCTGATAGGCCTAGTTGCGGTGCTGCAATCCGCAAGAACGGAGCTTATATGTACGTCCCCACTTTTCAGAATGTTAAGTCTCCTATTCAACTTTTCTTATTGATTTTCCTCGATCAGTGCCTATTCAGAAGAGAGGGCCCTTCATCGATTGTGCTTTTCTCTTTTTATTGAAGTGCGCCTGACCAATATTCACTGGCATAACAACGACCACAAACAAGAGGTGTTGTAAACTTACCGAGAAATAGTGATACCAAATACAAGGCCTCATCAATGGTGCGAAAAACAGGGGGTGGGGTGGTATACACAGCCGGTGGGGGTAAAACAATTCCATCTTTGGTTTATAACTTTTGCACTGCCAAATAGGACTTTCTTGTCACTACTATCTGTTGCAAGAGTAGAAACAAATTGGTATAATTATAGGAAGGGGAGAAAGATGCAGCTGAACTCTGAACGTACAACAAGTCTGTTCACAAAAAGTGACTGGAAATGCTCAGCGCCATGGAATCATAAGAACACACAAATGGACACCGATTTTTCGAACTTGTCGTTTCTGACAAACCAAAAATTGCATTAATCTGTTGGCGTAATTGGCGTAATCTTTTTGAAGTTGAGTAAAAACTGTTGGACAGTTTTCTGGCTCAGTTAGGGTGGTTTCTGCAGGGGGCACAGGACTGTAAGACAAAACAGGCTTGACTGGCATAATAAATGGCTTTCCGCGTTCGAGGCCTTTCTTTTTTTGGGGGGGGAGAGCGGATCCAGTTTTAGCCAAAATTAGGGGGAGCCCTCTTACTGAGCCTTTCTGAGGGGTGAGGCTAGAGGCTTCACACGCTGTTGGAAAAGAGAAAACATGAAAAAGGCCCCCCCCCCCGCATTTATGTCTTTACAAGAAAATCACCTTATTATATTGAAACTTGTTGCTACTTTTTTTGGGGGGGGGTACTCGTCTCTATGCTCAGTGGCATGTCTAGCGCCGGGGTGGGAGAAGTTGCGTAGTTCCCCCAGAGACCTGTTGGGAATTATTTTTCCATTGAAAACACAAAACTTTCGAAACGCTAGTTCCACCTTTTTGTATGGAGGGGGGAGAGATTTTGTTTGACGTCCGTTTTTAGACAAAAAAATCCCTCTTCGTCCCAACCAGCACCTCATGCCGGATACGCCACTGTCCACGACTCGGACGAACATCTGCAGATGGTCGGTGACTAGGGTAATTAGGTGCGCCCTCTAGGTACCAGTCGAAGTACAAAAATACAACTTACGGGTCGGGTCAAGGCTGCAGATCAAGAACATGGTGGCGCCCGCCCGTAAATTTCGGAAACCTTTCACAGGTGAAATTGTATCTCATGGTTAAGCTATCTGCACTCAAAAAGTATGTTGCTTTGCTAGGAAATGGACATAACACATAGGCCCTAATATATGTGGAAAAAATGTTAGTTATGTCAGTGGAGAAATGTATTTTACACTTAAAGAATTGCAGTTTGGCAGTAAAAGACTGGAGGCTGGGGATCCGGAATGCATTAGACCAGGGCTGTAGTTGGCTCTAGTGTAGTCACTGGTAGTGGCTCTCTTTTACAACCTGCCCCTTTTCTGTCGCCACCACAAAGAGACAGATTGTAAAAGCATGGAGGTAGGAAAAGAAAGCCACTACAGCCCTACGTGTGGGGCCTACAACATGTGCATGATGTAGGTCCTGGGCCCATGGAACTGGAGGTAGTGTTAGGCCTATATGTTATTATTTTACAGTTAGGCTAGCCCCACATGTTAGGCTGTGAATGGCTCTCTTCTGACATTTCTCTTAACTGCAGAATTGTCATAAACTTTGAATGCTAATTCCATGAGAATTAATATGATGAACATCCCGGATTTCCGTCTGAGCAATTTTGAAAACCATGAGGCTTTTTTCATTATTTATTAGGCCCAGGCCTAGTTGGTGTACATACTGCAGTAACGTCCATGCAAAGGGAACCAACCTTGGCAGTAGACTAGCTCTCACTGTCTCAGTCCGTCTTGCATCACGCCATTTGTACAGGGGAAAATACGACGTCACGATTTACTTTGCAGCCATTTTTTACCATTCCTGATGGGAAAAACAACAATTTTTCTGAAACTTTGGGAAAATACTGAGATTTTTTGGTGACTGTTTCAGCAGTATGCGGGCGGTGGACGGAAATCCAGGATATTCATTCGCATGGTCTAATAGGCCTACCTTCAACCTTCTGAAACTGAATGACGAACGACAGCACATTTTTGCTTACACTGGTGGAAGGCCTGTATTTGCTCCAAGCAAACAAAAGAGGACATGCTTTTTTGTACTCACCACATAGGCACACCATGAGGTGCGCAAGTATATATGTGCGTTTGACGCGGAGCACACAGACTACGTCCAAGAACCCGCTTGTAACCACTTGTCTTTCTTTCGCCGATTGGGGGTGCACTTCAGCTCGGGGTGGATAGGGCCTAATGGAGGACCTATTCTTCAGAGATTGGACTTTCAGATTCTCACCCTAAGCTCACCGAAATCCTACATTTGCCATGTAATTGTGTCTTGAAAAACCCGACGTGATGTAGGTATGTGGGTCATGGCAGTCTCTATTTCAAAAATAATGCCCAGGTGTCTCCCAACGACGGAAGAGTTCCGTATACGGACGCCATTTGACACCCTGTGCACAAACCCTATGAGACTGGTCTAAGTGTTTTCTCAGCAAACAACTTGGTATTTTCCCTCCTAAATTGAACTTTTCTGGACAGGTTTTTGCTTTCTGATGGCTATTAAGTCACAGGGGAACTTTTTCTCAAATGACGTCGGGTGTCTGTGGGTGGGATGGGAAATTTAGGCACCTTGCACTGTGTCGTGCATAGTTCACGTGCGAAGCGCCCTCTAGTGCCTTGACTTCCCATGCAAAAAAATGTGCTGTCATTCAACTTTCAGAATGTATTAAGATTCAAAGTTTGTGACAGTTCTGCAGTTAGGATTTAAAGCGTTAACATCCTGCATTGAAGTAGGGCTGTGGTGGCAACATTATAAAGACAGTTGTCAAAAGAGAGCTATTCATAGCTCAACGTGTGGGGCTTGCAAATGAAGCTGCTGTCCTCAAACTCAGAGAAGTCCTAGCTTTCGGGGACAAAATCAATTCCCCGAAAGAGAGAATTCCTCCCAAAACAGTAACAGATTTTTCAAGCGGGCTTGGGTTTGGGATCCTACTATTGGTCTGGGGTTCCTTTTCATTTCATATTTGAATTCGGCAGAAGAAAACACCCAAGGCTGCAATTTAAAAAAAGATCCTATCGGTTAATACTTCTAGGATTACAAGCAGGAGTCTGCAATGGGACATGAAGGGTGGAAAAAATATCACATCAAAAAAAATTTTTCTGAATATCAAACCTTTGCACACAGTGACTTGAGTGACACAGTACAAAATTTATTAAAAAACACATAGGCCTAACTTATATAAATGGGAAATATGGGAAAAACTTGATTATAGCATGTGAGTTTGGGGGATCCAAGCTCACTTGGAAAAAATCCCCCTTTTTCAAGGAGACGTTCTCTTTGTTTAGGGGGGGCTGGTTTTGTCCCCAACAGGGACTTCTCTGAGTTCAAGGACAGTTTTCAAGTTCTGATTTGCACCCCTTCTGTTTGGTGAGTTTGCACATTCCTAGCCCCACGTCCTAAATTAATCATGACAATGATTAACGTTAGGCCTGTTAGGCCTAACATTTGTATGCAGTCTAACAGAAGGCCGCCTCCTAAAATTTTACAAATGATTTTTGTTGGGCCTACTGCCTTTAACAACGACTAAAAAAATGATGATATAGTGTCACTTACGATCTGTCTTGGTCTTGTTGAAACCCTAGTTTCTTACGGTAGACCAAAGATGGATTCACCGTCACTGCACGTTGACCACTTTTTCCCAATTCCTTTACGAGACTCCATATCCCTACGCCCGCTGCGAGAGAAAGATGCGGAGTCTGTTTTCCGCGTCGTGGACAAAAACCGAGACTTTTTGAGCAAGTTTTTGCCTTGGGTTCCCAATGTGATCACTGTTCAACAGGAAGTGGAGTGGCTTAGCTTTTTCCAAGAGCAGGAGATGAGCGGTGCCGGCCTACATTGCGGCATTTTCAAGGAGCAGATCTCGCGAGATGAGCGTGTCGAAGAGATAATTGGGGCTGCCGGACTGAGGGTTATAAACTTTGCCAAGAAGACGGCACAATTTGGTTACTGGCTTGCTGAAGAGTTTACAGGCTCTGGCCTGTGCACTCTCGCCTGCCGAAAGTTGATTGAGTACGGCAAGGCCATCGGGATGGAGCGGTTTGAGATTCACGTTGCAGAGGACAACCTGAAGAGTCAGGCAGTAGCCCTCAGACTCGGATTTCACCAATGCCCCAAAATTATCAAGAGTGCAGAGGTTGTCAACAATGTGCCCCTCTCGCACATTGTTTTTGTACTACAACTTCAAGAGCCAACATCGACCTCAGAGTGAAAGTTCCAGCTATGGTCACCATGGTTACACTTTTTACTGGCCTGCAGGCCCTGCAGTACGTAAAAATGGACTATTTATTTCCATTTTATCTCCAGAAACCGACCGTTTTTATGTATGTTGAAATTTCTACTTTATTTCTGTTACCAGGCTCCTCCCAAAGTTATTTCTAATTTTTCTCTCAACATGGTTTTCCACTATGACTTCATCTGACAGCAGCCGAGAATGGCACCTTCTCAGAGGATTTCCTGCCATGATTCCCTCCAGTACCATTTTGCCTGCATGTTTTCTGAAGTTCTTTGTGTTAGGAGCTATATGTATTTGGACCCTCGTTAATGTAATTGGAGCTTCTTAAGGTGTGGTTTGGGCAGAAACTGTAGGTGTGGATGGCCAAGTTCAAAAGAACTCAAAAGAGCCAGTCAACAGAATCCAGTTCATTTTCAGCAGTTTATTCTACTGGTTCAACTGTCTATTAGTATAGTTTCTAATACATTTATGTAAATAAAAATCACACACAACTGCATTTAAATAACACCTTGACAAGAAGATGCAAAGATATTTTTGTACTATGAACTCACGCAGAACAAATCAAACTTTCTGAATAGCATACTTCCTTATTGAACAAGTCACCAGTATGTTTATATGACATTATCTTTCTTGAAGTAAACAGAGTCGAAATTCCAGCAAATACAAGTAGAGATCTCTTGCTATATATACAAATAAAATCATATAAATTTATACAGCTGTTGCGTCATCGAGTAAATTCCCCAACTTAGTTGGAAAGGCAATGAGATACAGAGCTACATGTACAACTAATATAGGTAAATAGGCAAAGTAAAATACAGCCGATAAAATGTGCAAAAGTTAAATTGGATAAAATTTTGAGGTTCCAATGGCAGTCTGAGTATGAAATAAAATGAGTAATATTTGATCTGGTCTGGACAGACTTCAGATTTTGTAAATAAACGTTTTTTTTCTTTTACCTGTGGTGGAAGAATATGGCTTTCAGCTTTTGGCATAACATCTGTGCGTATTTTTTGCATAATTTGAATATCTGCCACGTGAAAATAGTGTGACTTCTTCAACATAGGCTTTGTGTGGTAGCCATCTTGCAGGGCAGCTCTTGTGTTCCACAAGGAAGCCCCTTATATACAGACTCAGTGGAACAAAACTATTGACCAGCAAGATGGCAGCCATGCAAAGCCTCAATACTAAGGAAAGGCACAGTGGTGCAAAATATTTACATCTGAATGTGCACAAAGGACACAGAGTGGTTCATAATTCACACACCATTTCTATGTACATAAATGTAAGCGCATACTATAAGTGGCTTACAAAGTGTGGAATATCTGAGTTATCTAACCTCTGATCACAGATTTCCATTTTGAAAATTCTTTCTTTTTACTGTGTTCTACAAAGAAACCAAGAGACATTCAGTATAGGGGAAAGTGAGAAATAGTTTTCATGTGGCAACCAAACCTTGCTGTAATGGTGTTTTACCTTGTTTGTTTACGGATCAGTATTAATGTGAACATCTTTATGAATTGCCTTATGGTAGGCTGCATAGCTAACATGAGAATTTCATGAAATATTGGGTAAAAGTTTGGTAAAAAAAAATTTATGAATTTCAGCCCCAGGTCCCATTTCAGAAGACCAAGTTACTCTCCTTTAAATAAACGTTGGATTACTAATCAGTGGGCATTGAAAGACTGGCTTTGCTACAGAAAAGTCTGTAAAAACAATAAATTTCAAGCCTTCACCTCAAAACGGATTGTCAGATTTTTTTACGACAAATAAAAATTTTGGCAGTGAAAAATTATGAGTCAAAAACAATTATTTTACACAGCTGAATATTCCATTGAAATCACAAAAAGATGGAAAGAATTCACAAATATTTACATGTACTATGTCTCTGAACAGCAATGAAAGTGTGGTAAAATGCAGGTCATCAATAGTTTAAAAATATAAAAATAAAATCGTGGGCTAAACAATTCACGCCTATATAACAAGGATGCCTTCATATCTGCATAATATCTTATTTGAAAAATTTTGCCATGCACCAATTTGCAAAAGCTTGTGTAGTTACACCATCTAGGGGCAAAGTTCAAGCAGTGACTATTTGTCAAGCACTGGTTGATTTTACCCGGTACCCATAGCTGCATTCTGTGCAAAGGTTACCAGGGAAAAATCAACCAGTAGTTGGCAAATGGTCATGCCGCAAGACTGCCCTACAATGACTTAAAAGAAAGACTATTTTTTCTGTTACCACTCTTTCCATTTCCTCCTACTGTAATTACCGGATGCACTTTTATACCATTCCTGATTCCTATAGACTAATTTAACGAACTGCCATCACTGTGGTGGTGCTGCACTGGTGAAGGCATTGATAGACTTGACACATGCACGCATTTGGCACATCATGACATCCTATCAGTCGAGTAGGCAAGCAGCGCGCGCGTACCACCTGTCCACTAGCACCTGATGAGCACTGTGCCACCGCAGCAATGGCTTCTGCTCTGGTTGTTGAATTACAATTTGTTCTTTGTGAAAAAAAATGCCTTCATCTTCAGTTGCCATAACATTAGAGCCTTAAAAGACCTGGCACTCCCAATTCAACTACATGTACGAGGTGTGATTCACATCTCATTGGCCCTGTGAGGGCGCTGTGTAGCCTCGCCCAAAGAGCCACGGAGATAAATCTGCTGACCATGATGATGCTATCACTGATCATCTGCAATGGCCCCCGCCAATGGTGGAAAGCACTGTAATGATTTGTACGGAGGCACTATTCCACAAAAGTTGTTCCACACAAAACCCAACACACAGCTTTCCGCCATTAATGGGGGCCACTGCAAATGTCCACTGACATGTCATTCATTACAGTCATGTATGCACACACTGCTAGCTGTGCCCCTTTTCCAAATCTCAGCTTTGTCCTTCATTTCCAGGTTCATCTCTTGCGGTCCATGATCAGATTCTGATTGTTACTGTTACAAACCAAATGAAAGAATGCTACAAACTTGGGCCTTGCTTTAGCCTGTCCAATGTTCCTGCAGCAGCAATGGAGCGGGCACTGTCGGCTCTACGAGACTAAAATTCTCCACGCTGAAGCCTGATGGTGGAGGTGCAGACAAAGCAGAGATTCAGAAAATCCTGTGTGTTCCCAAGTCAAAACTTGGCACAGAATCGCACCCAGACAGTACAGTTACATGCAAGTTTCAATTAAGTGCACATTTGCTTTGTAGGACTGAACCTCAGCAAGGGCAGGATGGAGCCCACACGAGGTGCACAACGGACCTTGTGTACACTGGACAGAATCACGACGCTACGGTAAAACAGCCTGTGCTTCTATTGCCATGACCTCTTTAAACACGATTATGTCACCCAAGCATCCTGAGAGTTGAAGTTGGTTGCCTCGCTGCGGGCAAGACCTGATGTGTTCTTGTCTACTTGTCTACAGTACCAAAGGCATTCAAGATGTCAAGGAGGGCATCAACATCATCTGCCGCATCCTTGAACGAAAGCTGCAGAAAAGAATGGATTGAAAAAAACAAACATGTTTCATTGATAATGCCTTTGCTTTCACCTCAACTGCATCTACCCCAGGGTTGAAGTGTGCCCTCACAGGCAAAGATGAGGCAGCTTGGCAGGGATTTTTGTGAAAGGGCTCATGCACCCAGCACAAATACATACACTTTACACCTGTGAGTGCACGTACTGAGTTTCCACCAAAGGACAGCCACTATTGCTTTGCAAAATACGCCCTCTCTTGTTCCTGCTTGGAGCAGATGGACCCTTCTGTTGCAGTCTCAGCAACTTCAGAGACACAACTTCCACTGCAACACCAAAGACGGGTGCGTGACGAAATGCTAGAAATGTGGGTCCAAAGACTTGTCAGATGAAAGCCTTTTTGGTGGGTTTTAAACGCTTCTGGACCTACCTCCTTTTTCACTGCTGTTTTCTGCTTCTCCAGGAGTTCCCGGACAGCGGGCAGCTCAGCCTCAAACTTGTCCAGCTTGGCGCCGGCAATGTCGGCGCTGTCGTCGGGTCGCCCGCTGGTCTCTGCCCGTGATGAGATGTTCTTGAGCAGGTCTTCCCGTACCCCTTCCAGGAAGAGCGCCCCCTCGATGTATCCAAACTGCGAGAGGTAAGAATGCATCGTGATGGACACAAAGTCAAGCAGCCCTTGTCAAATGATGCTGGCAAAATCCCAATCCTGTGGTTTTTCCATCGTGTTCATGTTTTGTTCCCTCTTTACTTGATTATGAAAAAGGCCAATGATAACCAGCGATGTCAGACTGCACCCAAAGGCTTGGTCCCAAATGGTCCACTACTGTAAGAAAGTCTAACCAGCTATCATCCAAGTGCCCTAAGTCGAACTTTTATTAATTATGACTGCTGAATGAACTTGGCCCAAGCACACAAGGATGGTTGGGGGGGGAAGAGGCAACAGGGCCATCCCTCTTCCAAAATAAAACAATTTTTAAGGCTATTTTATGGGACTATTATTTTCCTTCCATCCAAAGTGTGTAAAAAGGTGCTCCCCATTTCTTCCCTAAGACAGGCCAGAAAAGATTACACAAAACATGTCCAAATTTTGGCCCACCCCAAAATTGGGTTGTGGATCTGCCCTTGGAAGTGCATGCACATGATAAATCACACCAACAGAGATTGCCGCCTGGCTAAAACAAAAAAAAAGCCACCTACAAATTATGGGTGAAATTCAGCTCACCTCGCCGACAAACTCTTCTGCTTGCGCCACCGTCCTCGGGAACCCGTCTATCACAAACCCGTCGGCCGACGCGTTCTTCCTCACCTCCTCCCGCATGACACTGAGCAGGATCTCCTGCGGTGCCAGACTACCCGCCTGGATGGCCTGGGCCACCTCTTTACCCTCAGGTGTGTCCAAATTGGACAGCACCCTCAGGAGTTCACCGGCAGAAAGGTGGACCAATTGGTGCTGGGCGGCCATTTTCTTGGCAACTTCTTTCTTGCCAGAGCCAGGGCCACCTGTTTAAAAAAAAATAAAACAAAAACAAATTAGCAACGCAAACTTTCAAAATGAGATCCTGAAGTATCCATCCATACACTCCAGCAGGGTATAAATGCTGGTAATTAGTTTCAGGTAAGAGATTGGTATAATCCGATATTAAACTGTGCCATTCGAAAACACAGAAACTTTCTGAAGGAATAATTTAATGAAACAACCTTTTGCAGCAACGTTGCTGGTTAGTCCATGCCAAGCCGCTAAAAAGTCCATCACAAGTCATTCACTTGGCAGTCAAGTCACAAGCTTTCCAAAATGAACTGTGACAATAGTATTCCTTAGTCGTTCATCCCGTTACTTGTGACTGGTCTATCAAAGGTCTTATACATGTTCTTGGACAAGGACTTGAGCAGGACTTGACAACAGAATGTTTCAATTCAAGATACACAATTTTTTTTCTACAGCAGTTTTGGACATAGTGGTTTAAAGTGAATCTACACCTTTGATGATGGGCAAATCAGGGCTCACCAATGACAAAAATGAACTTCTGCCGTTTTGCTTGACTGGCAGGCTCGATACCGCGTTCTTTCAAAGCATCTTTCACAAGCATGAACACGCTGTCTGGATCCGTCTCGGCCGACACCTGTCATCGACAAAGCAAAATCCAGGACCAAAATTATTCAAAAAACCTGCCACGGGAAATACTTCCTTTGTCATGTTTGTAAAAGATACTAACTAAAACGTATCTAATATCAACAATGCTTTCCTGAATAATGTCCACTATTTGACAGGATTGTGGCAGGATTTGGGTTTATGACATGACCAACTATCTCAAAACTAAGTTGAGGTTGTCAAGAAATTGACCCAAAATTCTGACCAACACTGCCAAAAGTTAAAAGTTTACAAGCAGTGTACATTGACTGTTCACAAAAGCACACGCTTTCTGTGCCCAAAAATGTACTTTGGATAACTTGGAAGACTTAATAAGTCTAGACCTGTTTGTGGTGCAAATGGTCTGAAACCAAGACTACATGTACCTACTTCAGCTGCGTTTGGGTGAAGGTTCCCACAATTGAGCATGTTATTAGGCTCTAAATCAGGAAGCAAAAGCTGTAATGCTCATGGGATTTGTACACAACCTGAAACTGCACAGTATAAGGCTGCATCAAAATCTTGGCTGTGGCTGGCAGTTGCACACGGATCTATGGGAAATGGAAGCGGCCGCTAGTCAGTGACTTCCATAGTTCCATGTGTTTATTCTTAGCCATAGCTAAGACTTTTTGATGAAGCCTGACTTCAACAAATATCACATTTCATACTTTGACAATCTTGTTCTTCTCTTCGTAGTGCACTACCACCGGCTCTGTGGCATTGTGGAACGTCGTCAGTCTCTTCTTGATGGTTTCTTCATTGTCGTCCACCCGCCCGCTTGTCTCGGCACGCTTCAGGAGCCTGGCCGTCATGGTTTCATCAGACACCTCGAAGTAGAGAGCGCAGGTGCACTCAGTGATCTGACCCACCCCCGAAATATGTAAAAGAGATGAAACTTATGGTAAGCGGAGTTTAAATTTCATATTTATGCATGCAGCTGTCTTACATCATTTCAGTCGCAATAACATTAAATCCTTGCCGAAAAGTGATTGTAACTAGCACCAGCATACCACAAGAAGGCATGTTGCAGGCCTTTAGCAAAGATGGTGAAGTTTAGTCTAGAAAATGAGCAGGTAAAAGGCATTTGTGGCAGCAGACTGTGGATCACACCCACTAGCCTGACACTTTATGTGTCACAAGCACTGACTACAATTATTGCCGTGATTGCCTTGACCAAAGGCTAGTGTGTTGCTGTATTCGGAGGCCATGCAGTGTCCTGTGGTAAATATTATAAGTGGCATCAATTTGGCGCTGCGAGGCATCTTGCTGTTGTCTGCAGCAAAGGGTTGGAGGACTTCATATCGTCAAGGTGAGTGGACGGCACCATGGCAAATGTAATAAGATTCTGCAAATCTTCAGATGGCAGTTTGGGGTGAGTGATGGGTGTGGGATAATGGGTGTAGTCACATTTAGTGGTGGTCATGGCACCTTCGGTAGACAGCAGCAAGAGTTGATGAAGGAGTTACCAAACGATGCGGCAGGCTGTCAGTGCATGAGGACATGACAAAACTGACAATGCAGCTATGTCTGTAAACTGACCTGCTTCTCAAACTCAATCCCCTGCTGGACCTCTCGTGGGTAGCCATCAATCAGATAGCCGGTGGATGTGTCTGCCTTGGCTAACATGTTCTCCTTCAGTAGCTCAAGGACTGTCTCCTGAATATTGGAAAAGAGAAATGGACAGGATTTGAGATTGACAGTTTGACAGATTGACATTATGAGTGAAACTTCTAGTTCTTCATTTAAGCACTGCGTTTGCCCAATCCAAGCAACTGGAGGTGCAAACCTGAGCGATACTGAAACACACTCACCTGTGGCACAAGGTCTCCATTCTCCATAATGGCTGTTAACTTCTGACCCCTCTCTGACCCTGACTTGACCTCTGCCCTCAGGAGGTCACCGGATGACAAGTGCGTGAACCCGTAGTTGTTGACAAGCTTCTCACACTGGGTGCCTTTGCCAGACCCTGGCCCTCCGATGACAAAAATGATCTTACACTTCTTCAGCTTTTCGGCTGCAGAATCTGCAAACACAATTGAAACAGAAACGTCAAATTTGATAAGCAACTTCCGTTTTAACACAATCCGTGAATAGTATGTGGAGCTATGGCAACCATAGAAACATATGCATAGAACACACTTCATATCTGCAAACTGGATGTCGGCGAAGTGGATTTGTGATGGAAATTAAATCAATACCACATATACATTGTGGACTTTGTTTCATTTGTTAAACTGGTAAGACATAATAACTTGGCGCCACCACACTGCGTGTTACACAAGTTTTTATATTAAGGAATGAATGCATTTTGGTATCATGTCCAAACACTTTCTTTGTCAAAGAGACATTTAACGTGCTGATATGACCCACACACAGGATACCTTATCATTACAGCAATGGCTTCTATAACCTACGTGAGTCTGCTTTTGAAGACACAGAACTCTTTCTTCCCTCCAACTGTTGGCAATATGCAAGCAGTGGGAATCTTGCAAACATTCAAAGCCAGAGCTGAGACAACTTCTTTGCCACACGGAGAGATGCACGGATCTTTGCTTACCTTGGCTGGCAGGCTCAATGCCACGTTCTTTCAAGGCATCTTTCACCAGTGAGAACACACTGTCAGGATCTATTTCAGCCGATACCTATCACAGACAACGAAAACAAGGAATGGCAAGTTACTTCCGACAATTAACACAAGAAGTGTGTCCTACTCTACAAATGCAATACGCTTTAAACACTACTTTAACCATAACTGGCCACTCACACGTCACAGTGGATTCTACAGAGTTGGGGTTCTCTGTTAATAAACTACAATGTATGCATCTAACAGCCTTTAACAAGCTAAGACATCTATGATCTACCACTCAAAATCGAGGTTGGGGTCGCAAGAATTTATTTCCGTTTGCAATTGTATGTACTACTGGTGAAATTAAACACACTTGCAATGCAAATTCTGCCATGTCCATGGCTGCCAAAGCTTTCTGTACAGAAAACTGTGAGGGCCCTAAAGCATAGCTGATTCCTGCCTGGTTTTCAATGTGGGTGAGTAATGCTTGCCAGTCCTAAGCTGTCAGACTCTCAACCAATAAAAACTAGCCTGAGTGTTAACAGGATTTCTTAATCATCCCAGCCTAACTTTCAAAATCTAATGCTACACACTTTCACGATCTTGTTCTTCTCTTCGTAGTGCACTACCACCGGCTCTGTGGCAGAGTGGAAGGTCGTCAGTCTCTTTTTGATGGTTTCTTCGTTGTCGTCCACCCGCCCGCTTGTCTCGGCACGCTTCAGGAGCCTGGCCGTCATGGTCTCATCGGACACCTCAAAGTAGAGAGCGCAGGTGCACTCAGTGATCTGGACCACCCCAAAAAATGTCAGAGAAAAATGGTAAGCAAAGTTGAATTTCATACATAACACTTGCACTTGAGTCACATTACCACTGCAACTAAAATGTTGCAGCTACATAGATATTCTACCGGCTGGGGAGCTGTGCAATGAGTGTTAACTGTGGGTTGTCAATCACAGTTTATTGTGACACGGGAATTTGAATATACAACTGCGGCAACCTTGTAATCTTTGTGAAGCAGATAAATTTACGGGATTGAAAGTCTTCATTTCCTCACAGTCAATGGAAGCTTTTACAGCGAATGCAATATCATCAATACTCTACATTTGGCAGTTAAGCAAGTCAAATACGGGTACCAGTACGTGTACTCTAAGTTGTGATAAGACCATTGGTAGAAAGCAGCATGGTGTTGATGAAGGAGTTACCAAATGATGCTGCAAGCTATCAATGCACCTAGACATGAAAGTACTGATGATGCAGTTAGGTCGGTAACTAACCTGCTTCTCAAACTCGATCCCCTGCTGGACCTCTCTTGGGTAACCATCAATCAGATAGCCGGTGGACGTGTCTGCCTTGGCTAACATGTTCTCCTTCAGTAGCTCAAGGACTGTCTCCTAAATATTGGAAAGAGAAATGTACGAAACTTGAGATTGACAACTGATTTCATTATCAGCAAAACCATGCAGACACACCCAAGATATAATCAAATGAGAAACAAATTCTTTATTTAAGCACTGCATTTCCCCAATCCAAGCAATTCCACAGAGGTACAAAACTGAAAGACCCCGAAACACACTCACCTGTGGCACAAGGTCTCCATTCTCCATAATGGCTGTTAGCCTCTGACCCCTCTCTGATCCTGACTTGACCTCTGCCCTCAGGAGGTCGCCGGATGACAAGTGCGTGAACCCGTAGTTGCTGACAAGCTTCTCACACTGGGTGCCCTTGCCAGACCCTGGCCCTCCGATGACAAAGATGATCTTACACTTCTTCAGCTTCTCTGCTGCAATTTTAAAAAAAAGACACAGGATCGAACAAATTAAGGGCCCACTTTAACTCTTACATGTTGTTCATGCCAGAGCAATTTAGGCCACATTTTCAGCTTCAAACCAAACCCAGGAACAGCATGAAGAGCTCTGGTAACCAGGCCAGACACACTTCCTGTTGACAACTGCATCTACTCTTGAAACACTAGAGCCCCACAGTGCTACAGCAGCACTGTTTCCCAAGTTATTTCTAATTTCACGTCGCATTGGTAGCCAGCACATAAGCACATTAGATGGTGTTCTCTGAAAGTGCGCCCTCAACTACTCATGGACAATGCACAATACATCACATCAATTTCAACATTGTGCATTCTTTCGGCCAAGGTTATGTTTCATCGAAATGTGCACAGTGGAGAATTATGACTTACCAGCCTCTTCATCTGCTACTCTCCCCTTGTCCCCGGTTATGAATGCCTTTTCTTCGGTGATTGGCTCTTCCTCCACTGAAATAGAAACAGAAGTTCCCAACGAAGGAAAAATTTACCCAGTGTTGAGGGCTTCTAAGGTCAACTATACTGTCAATCTGCCATAGTGCCATGAAGCAATGTTGCCTAATTTGTCCGGCACCAATCATTCAACGATACTCTCTTTGACAAAAGTGGTCAGAAATCATAGTTGAGTGTCAAGCAAGGCAAAGTTCAGACAAGTTCAGGACTTACCCTCTGGCTGGGCCGCTGGTTGGGCCTCTGCATTCTCTTCACCTTCCTGATTACCTGTTGACGTGTCCAAATGCAAAGCAAACTCTTAACTACATGTATGTACACAATGCATAAAGTGTTAGAAAATTGTGACAGTTGACATTTCGTTTAAGAGTCATTGTTCACTAGTAGTAGTTATGCAAACTGTGGCAGTAATTGCTAATGTCAACACGTATGGTTTACTGGGGTTGGGACGACAACATCGTCCCAGAATTGCCAGTGGCTATTCACAAAAGCCACAGCAGCAGCCCCCAAATATCTGACTCGGTCAATCAGGCTACAGCCGTTCCCCCTATCCTGATTGGCTAAAGTGCATGAATTGGAAGCCCTCTCACCACACTTCCCATTCCCTACCCACCTTTTTCAAGCTTTCCAAACATTTCCATCATTTTCAGGCCTTCGACGCCCAGAGCCTCTTTCTGTAGGTGACAAGAATGAAGAACTGAAATAAAAACAAACTATAATAAAACAAAAGTATTATTGGTCCTTACTTTTTGTTCCCGCGAAATGAGTCTTAAAAGCAGTAAGAGTGTGACATACATGTATGTAGAAGAATATACTACAGTTTATATACATCAATATGTGGTCTGTCTGGAACATATGGTGGCAGTAATCCTTTTTTAACTGTTTTCGGACTTTCTTAGACTGTATTACAACAGTAGAATAATGTATTTTGTTGATCCAGGCGGTATAGGTTAAGCTCTCGTGCACACTCATGAGCACCCAGCAGCCATTTGGTAGAAAAAAAGTACAAAGCCCTTTAACAGTGAAAACTAAGGGTAAAATACACATGAAGGCAAGTTGATGTATCGTTGCAGACCGGACTGCGACTGCTTTTGTTGGAGATTCTTGGAAGAAATTTTTCTCTGTGGAACATTAGTTTCTATTTTCGAGGGTTTAACTTGGAAGTGAGCCTGAAAAAACTCACTTCTTCTGCTGTCTTGTCCACAATGCTCTTTTCCGCATTGGAGTCTCCCGTTCCTTCTTCGTCTGATAAGTGAAATAGAAACATGTCAAATCCATGTCACATTCTCACAGAGTCAATTAACAATTATCAGCTGCTGTGATGTGGGATATAATGTTTTTAACACCCAAGGTCTCACAGAGCTCCAGGCATTTATGTAGGTGAAAGTACCACAGGTACGAATGAATACGTGTTGTCTCGCTAGCAGTCCCTGCATTACGGTGTGGACTGTGGAGCGGGGAACTAATGTAGCCTATGATATCACAATGTGATTTGCGTAAGGATGAACGTCACATGTATTTTTATGATCCGGCCATGTGATCAGTCTGAGCCAATGAAAATAGGGTAATCAAGACAACACTACAACAAAACCTGTTTTTCTCTTTTCATTTGATATTCTCCCTGAATCCGTCTACCCCGAATCCTTCTACTCATTATTGCTTCCCACAGCAACACTCTGGACTGGAATAACGCCGAGAGTTTCAGCAATCTGTGGCATTCAAGTTATCAGTTGCCAGCACTGTTGCAATGGGATAACAGCACTGTGCAACCACTATGAAACAACAACATCACCTCGCAACAACTTGAGGTATAATGTGCCCAGATCAGTTCATTTTTCCCAGAGTTACTGACATGCGATTCCATTCTGTGGTGTTGGAGTTTTACCACTCTGAGTGGACCGGTAGCAGCGTAATATATATCAAATTACACATGGCTAAACCAAAGCTATACTCTTGAAAATCTGTTGGATTACCTCTTGTGCCTTGCTTGGAACCTGACATGTTGCCCGGTGATCCAGTGAGAACTACTTCCTGCTGCAGACAACACAAAATGGAAACTGACTTTAAAAAAATGGCACGTCAGCTAACATGGTTGGTTGGTTGGCAGGCAAACGTTCAACGTTATGAGCATCGTTGACCTTCAGTGGTACGTGGAATGGGTGTATGTGGAATGGGTGACCAGGACGACTAGCTGGCTGGTTTAGATATGTGGACTGTACCACAAACCTTCCATTCAATCAAGTGTCCCACTATAAGAAGTCAATAACTTTTCATTCACTGAGTGTCTTTTTCCATTGAAAAAAAGACCTACAGTACATGTACATGTATAACACACTCAATGTTACAAAAGAAATCCCTCCATTTTGCACATAATGTACCCAAAAGCAAATGACTAATCACATCACTTTGTTCTGCCAATTTGATAACGGAATTGTTACAAATGATACAAAAGAGCAGCCATTACAGAACAGATTTTCTTGTGGGGGTGTGCAAAAATTTATGGCCGAGCCTCACCTCTTCCGCTGTCTCCGGAATGTTCTTCGCCTGCCCCTCAGCCCCATTTGCCTCGGTCTTCATGTCGGTTTTGATCGGGGGAAGTGGACTAGCAGCTTGTCCCATGCCAGCTGGAGAACAACACAAAGTCCATCTTAACTTACACTCTACATTTTGCCCAAGGTTGAAAAGTGTTAACTAAACATGAGAATGGGAAATGAAGCAAGTAGGTCAGACTCATCTTCTAGCTACATGTACTTACTATTACTGGCATCTGATGCACTCTGCGTGAAGAAACGAGAGTCAAACAAGTTGGCGATGTCATAGAACACTTCCTCCACGTCGCGATCACAGTTGACCTATCAATTAATGACAGTAAGATTGATTTGGCTTTATTAACTGTTTACAGAATATTTTAAGAAAACAATCTCCCACCACTTTTAAAAACAGATTTCATGCCTTAAGTTTAAGATTTCAAAAACATCTATGAATGAAGCACAGAAACATGTATCCTGAAAAGAAAAATTTTTTTTTTATTGAACTAAAGCAGCAAAAATTACCCCCCCCCAAACTGTATTCAAATCACATTTGGCTCTGACCATGTGGTTGACAGCAGGAGGCAGGGCAGTTTGCAGTAAACCTATGTGGTAAAATTTGCTTCGCAAAAAAGAATGATAGTTTTGAGGATATCTAACTGCTTAAATAGTATTCAGTCCTAGCAAAACCAGTCAAAAGCATAAACCTACTTTGCCCTCACAAACAAATTAGTACATATCTTAAATGTGATCAGTGTACCTGGTGCAGGACACTTTTCTGTCGGAAGTAGTCCACCACGCCTGGCACACTGCTGTGGAAGCTGGCTAGCCTGTTGGTGATGGCTGAATCTGTGTCATCCAACCGGCCACTGGTGTCCTTACGTTTCTCCAGGCGAAACCTGAGTCGGGTCTCATCACACATCAGGTACAAGACCAGATCGACGGCTCCGAACTGTACAAAGAAAATGAAGCATTTATCCATGAAAACTACTATTTAATTGACAAAGCTTTTAACTGAGCTGCACTCTCTGATTATTGTCATAAATACCCTTAGAAGTAAAAATAGAAAGACACTGCAATTATTGATAAGTTCTTGGATGTTGTTAAGTCACTGCTTAGCTGCAATCCTCTCACTGTGCACATTCAGTTGAAAATTGGTTGATTGTACAGTGTGCCAATCCTGCAAGCAGTGTTTCCACTTTTGCATTCTCATTGCTATTGACGCTGCAGATTTTCATCCTTTATCATATTACTTTCGTACAAAGATGTAGCAAATTTGTGTACATTCAGTTGAAAGCTGGAACAGGATGCCAGTGTTGCATGCAACACATCCTTTTTTGCCTTGCACAAGTAAAGCTACGGTACAAGCTCCAAGCTCAGGTATTGTACAGTATCTAGTACAGCAAGTAAAACCTCCATCGTCAAATAGTCTAGAAATACACATTAAAAAACTGAAACATACCTCCTTCTCAAAAGCCTGCACCTGCTCCATGCCCCGGGGGTACCCCTCTATGATAAATCCCAGGAGGTCTGGCTGTTTCTGCACCTTGCTCCCTATCTTGGCCTGCACCAACTCAAAGGCCGTCTCCTACATTTTGATGACGAAAGCACAAATTTTCATGGCAAAAAATTGTGCAACTGCATAAGAAAGCAGGGTTTAAGCCAACCTACGAAAAAGGGGCATCCACATGATACATGTACAATGAAGATTGACAAAACAAGGCATGCACAATAACTGATGAGGTTTCTGCAAGATGCCTAGATATCTATATCAGTAAAGTTTTTACCGGAGAGTTTTTACTAGAAACTTTGCCACAAGACCAGAAATGTGTGTTCCTGGTAACTGTGTTTGATCTGCATTTTAATGGACCACTTGCATGTCTGAGTCAGGATTTGCCAACGGAACATTTCCGAGGACAAAGGGACAAGAACGTCATGTTGCACACTTGACACTCATCATGCAGGAAGTGCATTACGACAGGATTCCCCTGCATTTAAAAATTCCATGATTATTCCCTCATTTTTCCCTGATGAATTTTGAGAATTCCAGGATAGTTACTAGTCGTTTGATCTGTTTTCCGTTTGATATCTCTAGAAGCAACTGTAGCCAATCATCGAGTGGATGAACTTGAGACAGAATATAACAGACTGACTACTTTCCTATTTGGACCAATCAATTCCCGGTTTTTTTCCTGCCCAGAGAAAGGGAAACTCATTTCCAAGGTTTTCCGTGATTTCTAGGATGGCTGAGGAACCCTGTGCTGACAACCAGCCCCAGTAGTAGGAACAATGCATGCCATTTTTGGTCGGGAACCGTTTTTTGTGGCTAAGCGAATATCTCTGTAAGCTAAGCCAATTTCCATACTCCAATCAACTGGTCCTTGGTCGGTACTTACGTGGGGCACCATCTGTCCACTCAGCACCAGGTCTGCCAGCATCTCCCATTTCCCCTTGGGGTATTTCTTGATTTTCCTCCTCAGCATGTGACCCACCGAGATGTGCAGGTAGCCGCTGTAGCGATTGGTCAGCCGCTTGCAGTGTTCGCTCTTGCTGCTGCCCGGCCCACCTGTTGTCCAACAGAGTGGACACATGCGAATTGGTATCATTATCAGTATCCTGAGCATTTTGAAGTTAACATTGTGACTGGACCCCACAGAATTAACTTTAAGGCCATTCTTTGAGTAATGTACGTTAAAGCTTTCATTAGAAAGACCAAATAGAGGTCTCACTTTGTCATGCTGGGCCAAATTTCAGGGTGCTGCTCACGGTTATGCTATTTTTTTGCTAAACACAGCTTAAAGTCTGAAGTTGGCACAACTCTCTCTATATACAGCTCTCAGGTTGAAGTTTGGCACCCTTCCGCCATCCTCACCAAAAGTGAACAGTGCATCATCTCCAGTTGTACGATGGGCCAGTTTGGCACAAGTGCTGACTTGCAGGCCAGTGGCCATATTTGAATATTTGGTTCAAACTGGACAAAGTGTTCTTGAAGTACAATTTCCTCTTTAAAAAAAAAAAACCCCAAAAAACAAAAAAAAAACCACAAAAAGTAACAACAAATACAGCCCATAATAAAACACAAGTCGCTGGCTTTTTTAACTGTACCTCGGCACCATTTCCTGTTTGATACAGATGCCTTGGAAAAATTGCTTAATTTTAGGGCCTAATAAATGCATGTGATAAATCGAGGCAATCTTACCAACAACAAAGATGAACCTGGTGTGAGGGGGCGGGACTCCTTGCTTGGCTGTGGCAACCACTCCTGGGGATGTAGGGATGGGCGGTAGAGGGCTGCTACGCTTCATCTCCAACGGAACCTCTGAAAAAGAGTGGGGGGGAGGGAACATGTTCTTAATCAATGCAGATTTCCAACAATATTACAAGGAACCTTCCTGAATCAGCCATATTCTTTGTACCTGACACTTCCAAGGGGTGTCAATTAAGCAACATAAAATAGTAGCTTGACCCATCTTCATGAATCCCATAAAATCCTATCAAGCCTACCAGTGCATTTTGAAGGATCTGGGAAGGATACGGTACATTTTGGCAGCAAAGTTACGCTGTTCTAATCCAAAAATTATACTGCATTAGCTTACATGTTTGTGTCGATTGGAATGGAAAATCTTTTACTGATTCTGACATTAGCATGTTGAATACAGTTATACTTTTGAAGCGCAGTTGCAAAAACATGTTTTTCTTTTGCTGCTGCTTTTTTTATATCCAGAAGCTGTGAATTGAACCAAATATTTCCTATTTGCACAAGTCACAGATTTTAAAACTTAAAAACTGTGCATCCAATCAGCTTCCCTGTTATACACCCACTTCAAATTAACATCTAGATGAATTTTGCATCTTGTATGCTGATTGGTCCAAAGTTTGTCCATCAACCCAGTAAGTAAATACTTGAAGCATAATGGCAGTACAAGACGTGTACCTGTAGTGAAAGTTGGCTCTCGCTCCATGGGAGCATCACTCGATGGTATTGGGGGCAAAGGGGCTTGACCTTTGACCCCATCCACAAAGGTGTTCCAGCGGACTGCTTCCATCTTGTCATCTTTGATCTTGTTTAGACATTCCAGCATGTACTCTACGTGGTTGCCCGGCTTGTGGTACATCAACCCAGTCATGAGACTCTGCCAACACAAATTTTGACGATGCTGTTATGTCCAATTTCCCACAGAATCCTATGAAACCTACCACTAGATTTTGAAGGATCTGGGAAGAATACAGTTACACTTTGGCAGCAACATTATGCTAGTCTAATCCAAAAAACTGTGCTGCCTTTCTCTCACCCACACCCCCGGCTGCCATCACGTTTATGGAGGTAAAGTTGTTACCACGTCAGCATGTGCAATCTGGTTCTCGGCCACCTCGACAAGTCAAAATCAGTCAGAGGGCTATGCACAGGACATGGCTTAATGCAAGGCAAGCCTCCATGGTGGCCGTTGGCTGTATCTTGGTACTTCACACATAACCGAACTTCCTTTCTGCTTGCTGGGGACCTGACCCCCTCCCCCCAGTGCTGATGGCGCAATGCACATGAGCTGATGGCACCAATGGCACCTCAACAAAAATCAGCAACAAAAAACAGGTGATTTTCTCTTGTCCTGGACATCATAAATGGAACAAAGTGGCATTGGTGTGATCTTGAATTCCTACTTGTATCTGGAGTAGTCTGGAGGTGGTTTGGGAGTGAAGGATTTTTTTTAAGGGAAAAAAGTCTGAGATCCATTTGATGTAGAATGGTCTGGTTCCTGTTTCTAATGCACCAGAATGGTGCAAGAAAGTAGACAGAACTCTGTCTAAACACACGTAAAAATTTTGATTTGATTTATTCACTATTTCCACAAAATATCATTACAAAATTAACAATTCCCAATAGGTGGAAATAGGATAAAGCAAAAAAAAGTTAAAATAACTTATTTATGTTACGCCCCAACTATAGCATCAGTCCTAACTATAGTTGGGCCCGTCCCAACTAGAGTGCT